ATTTCATTACTAAAGTACCAAAAAGCTTGAGGTGCATCATGGGAGTACTGCCATGTTGTAGGGCTTCACCTACATGCTAATATATCACATTTTGTTTTCAGAATATTAAAAGCAGTAGAATCTCTACAGGAAATGCTGCACAAATTTGACGTGCATAATGTTCATGGTGAAAATTTCTTCAGTGATTTGAATAAAATTAGAGCAAAATTTAAACAGGTAAGCTAGGTCAAAGTCTTTATAATTCCCACAAGTCTGGTTTTATATCTATTATTCATAAAGTAAAAATTTATGAGCAATACATATTTATTTCTATTTTTAGGTCTGCTCTTTACTCAATGTAACATTAGAATTTAGCGATGAGAAGAAATCTGTTTTATCATTTTAATGTAAATAATATGCAAATGAACTGTGATGTTGATGTGTGACAAGTAAGGGTTATTGGGTAAGTGAGATAGTTTAATATGGTAAATTTGCTATGAGAACCAATCATAGATTATATCATAGGCAATATCAGTCTATAAGACCAGCTTTGATTGGTCATGCTTACCATGAATGTAGCTGTGAGAACCAATCAGAAATTACCTTATCTGCAACATCAGTCTGTAAGACCAGCTTTGATTGGTCATGCTTATCATAAATGTAGCTCTGAGAACCAATCAGAAATCACCTTATCTGCAACGTCAGTCTGTAAGACCAGCTTCGATTGGTCATGCTTATCATAAATGTAGCTCGAAGAACCAATCAGAAATCACCTTATCTGCAACATCAGTCTGTAAGACCAGCTTTGATTGGTCATTGAAGATAACGAAAGACATTGCTATTTGACAAGAGATAGATTAATGATAACTTTTATTTTCATTATTTTCAGTCGATGTTGACCTTGTACATCTTTGGTGAAACAGTAGTTGTATCATACCATACTCTTTGTGAAAAGAGTCCTAAGCTCTGAAAACAGAGGGTGAACACTTGGTCTGGCACTCCCTTCCAAAAATTATTTAAATGACATTTTTTGTTCACAATGTTAGGTAGGGGAATATTGCCTAATTTTGGAAAATAGTACAATTTTGAATCAAGTTACATAAAGTCTGTTATTAGGCAATCAAAATCCTGTGTCAATGGAGAAAAATTACTTCCATGCTGTGTCATACTGATACAATTCTTCTTGAATTCCCAATTATTGATAATGGTATTTTGCCAATGCAATGAGAAAGCTGTTGGCATTATTTTTGACCAAAAAAAAAATAATTAGGGGTTTGCATCTTTTGTAAAGTGACTGTTAAAGAAGTATTTAACATCTTTAAATGTAGTCAACAGCTTATGTCAAATCGTAGTTTACTCAATCAAACCCCAATTATGATATAACATTATAATTATTCAGAAAAGTGAAAATGATGATTAGTTACATAACTTGACAGTATAATTGTATAATTTGGGTGTTTCATAAAGGGGGGATAAGTCAAACATGAGCCCCAAAATAGAAATCCCCCAAAAGTGGGAGAATGGGAGCTTTAGTCAAGCCTGGGTGCCAAGTCTGTGGAGAGTGGAATATGGTATCAGAAGACCTCATTACTAGTAATGTTGGTGTTGGTGATTATATTGTACATGTCAGATTTCTAAACAGTTTTCAATAGACCATTTTCCATTCACTGTGAGATGCCGTGTTATGTGTGAAATCGAACGTAAAAACAGGATAAACAAAGGTCATAGTAGCATCAAATCGCATCACATGGAATTCAACAACGCAAAAGTATTCTTTTGGTATTTCCACACTTAATATTGTGCTGTACATTTTGACATTGAACTATTAAAACAGTCAAATCATTTGATTTTTGCTGCATATGTTCGATCCATGACTTTCTCACATTACGCGAGATCTCGCAGTGAACCGAAAATCGCCTGTTGCTATGCATTCATCTTTCCGTTCTATATGCACTCGATAAAAAAAATTACGTGTCATTTCTGGAAAATGCATTGAATAAAAATTGTCAATAAAAATATTTCTAATTCAAAAACCTGTTGTAACAAGTTTCTCAGTCTCTTTTGATTATACAGAGTTCACTGTAGTCTCTCCTTGATTTGAAAATTATTTTGAATAATGAAAGTCAAATAAACATAGTTAAACAATCTGCACCTTGTCATAAAGCGTCAGAATTTCTGTGACTACCGTTAAATTTGTAATAGAATTCACCATTTCTCCTATGTGTGTAGATGCTCTATTACATTGTCCAATTCTAATAGAAGCCGCAGCTTGTAATACAGATTTTACCATACACATGCCTAAAAGTCCTTCGTACTTGGTCATATTCTAAATAAAGTTGATGGCCATCAGTTTGTCAACAAGTGAATCAGAGCTTCACAATTAGAATCTCAAGGAGGGGAGAAGGAAGAAAAACTCCTTGTGCTTAGACAGGTTCCATAGCGTTGGGAAAATCCTTTGAAAGTCTTTGGATTTTTTTAGGTCTGGAAAGTCTTTGAGTTGTCTTTAAATTACAGGAAAAATAAAAAAATAAATTGAAAACTCTTTAAATTTCTTCATAGTTATTAATTCATTTTAGAAAGATTCGTTTTCCCCAGGAAACTACCATATCCTCAGAACGATGATGATGATGATGTTGGCCTGAATTAAGGGTCTTGGAGAAAAATGCAAGAAAGTTTGGGAAAAGGTCTGGAAAAGCCTTGGAAATCGTTTGGCTCCTGGTGCTATGGACCCTGTTAGATCATTTTTACTCGTTTTTCTCTATCAATTGTGCATGTTTTTTTGTATTTTTCCTATCAAATCATCAAAATTTCTAATTGGTCGACCACATATTCTATATTATATATAGCACAACCATATTTTGTTGTTGGTATATCAACAGCGATAAGTCTTCTATAATACTGCATTCTCATTGTTCAACTGGTATATCATAACATGGTAGTGCTTGAGGGCAAATGCGTGAGTATACAAACAAGATAGTGTGTGTGTGTGCGCGACGCAATATTTCCCACATTTGTATGGATAGCTCAACAAATCCTCAGTATTTTCATCTGAAAATTTACCTATGTGTTTATGTTTGCATATCGTCATGAACTTCTATGCGCAACTGAAAACAAGCATGCATGATATGCTAACCACGCAGTCTATTTCTATCTTTGTCTTTCAATTTTCGTTTCAACAGTCCATTACGCATTATAATTGAAATAAAGGACTTCAAGCTTGGATGGTGATGTTTACTTACGAGTTCGACTAGTCTCGCAAAGTATTGCCCACATCCTCGTCTGAGCGATGTTATGATGCAACAAAGGGCAGTCTTTCATTCGCCAAATTGCCATCAGTTATTAATTTTTAGCCCCAGAACCTGAATTTGTTTTCATAACACCTATAGATTATGGTACAGTCATGGGGGTGGGGGTGGGGTGCATGATAAGAGAGTAACAAGATTTTACTTTACAGGATCATACATGTTGTACGTTGCGAATCCATGGAGAATGCAGAGGAACTTTGATATTTCAGTCTAGTACTATTGCTTAAAATAACTTCAACCGATGACAAGTTGGTATGTATTTTGAGAAATCATTGTGCAGTGCAGTTTGAAATGAAACAATTTTGAATGCAATCAAATCACGCGTAGCACTCCAGCTAGATACTAGTGGCATCAAACTGATTGTTGGTTGAATTTGATTTGCAATAGACAATTTTACAGCCCGACAGCCTTCAAAATGTCCCACCCAGATTGGATGCCATCCTCTTGTGCCCCCACCCCAGGAACAATACTATTGTAAACATAAACGCCCTGTATGGTGAACATAACGTGGTCACTGAAAGTAAGTTTTTGTAAAGCGACTTTTACTAAATTCATCGAATGGACACGCAACACAGACAGAATCCAGTTCAATGTATTTCATAACATTTTTATTATTATTATAATAAGCTGGCAAATGCTTAGCAATTGCAAATACTCTCAATAAAATGATATACTTTAAAATAAAAACAGAAAAAAAAATTAGCAAAGATAGCAAGTTTTTTTTTCCAGATCAACGTTTATGAAACATTTAATGGAAATTAAATATACAATTGAAAGCGTAAAAATCATCCAATGACACAAGTATATTTCATATATATAATTAATTTAGCATCAAGGAACATTTCAATTTGCTTGGATTGACTGTATATGCACAAACTAGCTCATTGCCTTGCCGTACACAGCATACCAGCAATAGACACTGTATACTTCAATAGGAAACTCTGTCGTAAACAACTATTCATGTCGAGAATCTTTGGAGCAAATTTTATTCCAGTAAAATATATTGCTTTAATATGGTCAACAACTTGTATGGAATTTTGAAAAGAATTTTTATATCAAAGGTGACAATGATGGCAAATGTGTTAAGAGCCTCAATCAAGGTTTCACACTATCATTAGGTATTTTATATCTCACAAGTGAACCTGGAATGCAACTGTGAAAGTCGGGGGGGGGGGGGGTCAAACAATGATAGTTGCTCTCTCACCTACATAAAAATAAAGACACACAAAATAAAATTCTAAAACTTTTTTTTAGCAGTTTTTTTTCAGGACTGTTTTCCATAGATGTGAAAATTATAGTGGTTGGTAATGAGATAGCTGGCTTCATTTCTTAACATTTTAAAGGTGATTTCAAATAGAGCACTTTACAACAGTAATGGCTTTTTATTCTAATTGTACATTTCCCAGGACCATATGCAACAACACTAATACTATTACACTGCCTAGGTACAGGTTAACCCTACGAAATATGAACATGTCTAAGTCTACACATGGTGTTCAACAAAGATTCTCCTAATTAAATTCATTGAAGCAATTTGGTTCAAATGTAGCTGTCCATAAGGGTTCTTATAGAAATAAGGGTGTAATACAACTTTGTACCAGTACTGATACGATGAACAACACTCTATAGAACTATTAACTGATTGTCAAATTCAATGGAACAAGACACTACAAATCAGCCGAACCACAAACGTAGTATGCGTGAGTTACTATGCACACAAGGACGAACAGACTCCATGCAGTAAGTTCCATGCAGTGCAAGTTAAAGGTTTATGGAAATTTACAAAATATACTTTGTAAACAAAATTGTTTTTAAAACATTAGGTATGTAACAAAAATTCATCATTTCTCATATGTGTAGATGCTCTAATAGAAGCAGCAACCCCTCTGTTGCATTGTACCATTTTAATAGAAGCCACGGTTTCGAATACAGATTTTACAGTAATCCAAATATTAATCGATTTTAAAAACGGTGCAATTCATTTTTTGGTGCTAATTTCAATTTGGACGAGCAGGTGCTTAACCAAGGTTGAATGAACCAATGTGATGAACACAATATAATGCAACCCAGAATCCCAAAAATTTTTCATTACTGTATAGTTGTAGAAATTCATGTTTGTCAATGCCAAGCAATCCCCTTTCAAAACACTTGAAATATACATTAATCTCTTCACCACCAGACTTTCTCAACCTAATTTTTCTGCACTTTTTTTCTTGTATTCTTTAATATTTTTGGAGCCAACAGACAAAATTTTAGTCAATTTTACTCAAAAAATTTGGCTGTTTGTCTCGATATTTTGAAGGTAAGTGCAGACTATAAACAAGACCATTTTGTGAATTTGTGATGAAAACAAGAAACTGGTGGTAAAAAGATTAAAAGCAAAATACAATATTATACACTTCTTTCTTTTGAAAACAATGATACGTGAAAATACAAAAGAAAATTTAACGAGTACTCTCGAAAATCAAACCCAGACTTAAAATTTCTGTCATTTCCATGGTTACTTTGAACCACAAGAAGAATATATTATTTTGTTTGTGCTAATCAGCATATTAAAACTTAATTACATCTAATATAGCAAGTATTAAATCTACAAGTTTTCATTACATCTACATCTTGTAACCTGTCTAAAGTAAAATAAAACTATAGGTAACTATAGGTACTATATACATAAACAATGGATGGCTTAGCCTTCAAAAGTAATTACCAGGTATTTCAAGTCCAATATTTTTTTTGGACATAAAGATTTTGTCAAATCAACATGATTTTTTTTGTATTTTTTTTTTTTTTTGCACATAATAGCTTTGTACTTTTTTCACCAAAATTCAACTTGCATTTCTAGTTTCTAATGTCGGCACAGTTCCAATCTATATCACACAATATAAAAAGCTGCTGCAATTCAAAATTTACACTTGCATCTATGTTGAAGAGTATTTTTATTACCGATAGGTCATATGTATTCTGTAAACATACTCAATTTGAAAACTGATAGATATTTTTTGTTTCTGCTAACACTCCAAACATATTTTAATATAATAAAATCATTTCATAAATGATTCAACATTAATATTAACATTATTTTGTGTTATTTTTTTCATATTAGCATTACTACTAATAGACACCGTTCAACTGTTCACCATGACAACCTTCATTTTGCCTCTGTCTATAACTTGTACTCTGTATATCATTCAATTAAAAAATAAAAATTAATTTATAATATTACTGCATGCATATTAATTGCAAGCAATCATGGTTGGTCTGTCCAATCAACTGACTATCAGTCTGTTCTCTCACATGTAAAGCAAAGCAGAATACACACTTCTACAGTTACACAATTCAGTCTGTGTAATACATTTCTATTTTTACTAAATATGCAAGCTCAAATTTCTGAAATTTCAAAAATATTTACGTCTTAAAACATGGTCATGAATATAACAGCTATGTTACATGAAAGCTCAAATCCATTTACCAGGGCTTAAAAAAAGATGTGCTTCTGAGAGACCAGTTATTCAAAAACAGAATTAGAAATATTCAGCGATGAAAATACTAAATCCCAAGTTATGACATGTTAATAAACATAAAAACAAATACATCACTGTCACTCATCACATGAGGGCGCTTTTGAAACCTACTGCAATTTTTACATAAGATTATAATTAAGGATTGTGAATTAAATAAGCTCTATCCCATTAATGTAGATCAAAACATAACTTGTAGACCACTAAATATATTATTTTTTTATTTACAATGTCAGCATATTAGGATTTTGTCACCAAACTGACCTTTCGCAAGTTAAGAGAGTTGAGATCATTTCAATAAAACTCAGAAAATCTATTCCCCTTATACTAAAGGGTTAATATTTGACACACAATCTTCACTGAACAGGATCACAACAACCACAAATATATTTTGTGTTAAATAAAATTTGTATATTCAATATTGAGAAGGGAGTCATAAATGAAACTGCTTTCATGTCAACTTTTTTGCACGCAACTCAATTTTCCAACACTTTGGCACTAATCTTAAAAAACTTTACAAACAATTACAAGTTTCCAGAATGCCATATTATTATCACTCATGTTATTGATCACATGACCATACTGTTAAAGACAAGAGACTCTGAATGACACATCATCACTTCTTTCAATGGTATTTGGCGGTGGTTTTACGACTGTTTCCTGGATATCGTTCAGCTGATACTGCCCGTCTGCCATGGTTATCATATGACTACTAGAAATAACTGGAGACTTAATAACGCCGTTGGGTATTTTTTCACAATTTTGTGAATTCACTTTATTTTCGAGAGCTGTGTTGTTGTTTGTACTATTATTCGGTGGTGAGGTCACATTTTGTGCTTGTCCAATAAGAGTGACTTTGTTATTAGGACACTGTACTGAGTTACCATTCTGATGTAAGGAGCTTTCTGATTGGCTACTTCCAATCGGTGGTGTATTCGGTATATGTACTTTGTTGAGATCAGTGCTTGATAAGGATAACGTATTCATGCAATCAATGTCAACACTGACTGCTTTCCTTCTGTCTTTCCCTTTTCCATTCTCCCTGAAATTTATATCACTTTTACTGTCCTCGTGTAATGAAAACCTGCCTGCTAAAAGTTTATAGGGAGTGCCCCGTCTTTTATTTTTCTTGTCCACCTTACTTGGCGAATGTGAACCTTCCAAAGAATTTTGAGATAACTGTGTTACAGCAGTTGGTCGAGGAACAACAGCTGGGGTTTGTTTTCGATCGTCACCATCGGACTGTGTGCTCACCAACTCATATCCATCTTTTCGCAATCGTCCACTCGGCTGATGTTGTTGGACAGCTGCAGTAGCTAACCTCTCTGGCTGTTGAGTGATTTCAACTTTTGTTGATGCCTGTTTAACAACTTTGTTGCTAATGTTTCCCCTGCCTTTTGATGTTCGGTCATTGTGCGCAACTGTCGCCTGGTGGCAGTGTGGGTCACTTGCCTCCATTTTGGCAATTCCTGTTTGGACGCCACTTTTTGAACTACGACCGGGAACATACATAGCCACAAGTTTTTTTTTCATCCCATTCAAGCCAGCACTCAGAGCTAAAGATGTTGGTCGCTTGACACGGTCATCGTGGTAACTCAATGTGGGATTATCTGGGAGTGTTAGTGGAGAATTACTACGTTGTTGGGGGACATTCTCTGCCTGTCTATTAAGTTCTTCAAATTCATTGACATTCAGCGGGTTGATCAAGCGCCCACCAATGTTCATTCCAGGCTGCAGCTGAGCTGGTCGGCTATCGACTGAATGATGGCGTCTTTGCGCAATTAACTGTTCTCGGTGTCGGTTTGTGTCTACCTTAAACTTTCCTTGACTACCAGTACGTGCTCGTGCCTGATTAACTGTCATCTGACCCCAAGGTGGGTTACCATGGTAATTGTGTCCAGTATTCTGTTGTTTGGGTCGTACACTTGTGTGCGAATTAGAAAGGTTATCGGTCATAAGATCTCTTGCCAAGCTAGGTCTCATCTCTGACAACATAAGCGGTCTGCTGGGTGATGTGGATGGCTCACTGTGTGCCGAATATTCTAGGCAGGGTCCATAGCCACCGCTAAACTTCAAATCTGTAGTTGCTCCTTGAACGTCTTCATCCGAGTGGTGTAAGTTTTTGGGGTCAACAGACTGAGCACAACTGAATTCACCAAGGTTAATATCAGAGGTCGCTGAAAGACTTGTACTTATGGTATCAGGGGACAGATGATTGCTATGGCGATCCAAGCCTAGACCACTTAACACGTTCTTTTCGGCAGTAGAACTTGTTGATGTTGAGTGATCTGCAAGCAAGGCTCGACGCTGTGACATTGCTCGTTCCACATTGGCATTTCGGTCTAAGAGTGCTTCCTCTCTGTGAACAGTTCTTGGCACTTCTTGCAAATGCTGTGTACGACCCATTGTACGGTCGCTACTTGTGAAGTTACTATTATGATCCATAACATCTGTCATGCTGACAACTCCAACGCCGCCAACAACACCCCGTTGATTCTGATTTGTGTTTCCAGTATGATCAGTCAGTGTTTGCGTTGTACCAGTACCACCAGTGGAGGTAGCGTTCACAGTTGGGCTAACAGAATGATTTTTGTCCCACAAATTCATCAGGTCCATCATCCTTTCTTCAACGCACAGCGCTGTCAATCGGGCCTCAGCGTCCTGATCCCAGCAGTCTTCCATTGTTTCTTTCAGTGAACGAATAGCCTGCAAAAAAAAAAAGGTGTCAATAAAATTATGAAATCAACTTTATAAATGATGTTCTGTAAATATGCAAGTTGACTTCGCTGAAATTCATCACTTAACATTGTAATTAAAAGTTAAACATCTGCAATTATTTAGTATCCTGATGCCACACAAAAAAAAATTGTGTAGAATTAAATTTTGGACTCATTTGCATATATTGAGAGGGCATTATTAGCATGGGTTGTTATCATCTATTGGGACTCAATTTAAGAATTTGTTATATATATAGACAATATACAAAGTTATCGACGTTATGTATATAATTGAACAAGTTGGAATGCATTTAGGATTATAAAGACTACAGTTCTGGTCAGCACATTGTAATTAGCCACTCTTAGTCATATGACCAACAGTGGTACAAGCCTGTTTAATTATGCTGCGCAAATACAAACAGGATATATTTTCATGTAATGTCCATGAAAAATTAGCTCTTTCAACTTGAAGCAAAGACACAAATAAAGCTAGTCTTGACAAATTAAAATGAAATAAAATTACACCCATCATCTTAAACTAGGACTTACATGATGGTTCTTTTTCCATGCATCTGGAAATGCTGGACGTCTTTTCTCTCGGGATACAAACACTTGTACATCTTCAAATGATGGGTGGCTACCAATTTCAGACATGAAAGGGAGTTCATATTCTGGTACAGGACCACCTAGAAATGCAGGATTTCAGAAGACAAGAATGCATTTATTCTATTTACAGTCACAATATTCAACAAACACAAGTTTTTGCATACTTCCCAGCAATGATACGAACAAAAATGTATATTTTTTCATCCAAAATGTAAAAAATCACAACTGACAAATTCTGCAGCATTGAAATTTTTTTAAGTGATTCTTCAGACAGGGAGTGAGTGACTTGAAATAGTGTTTGTTAGGGTTACAAGAGCTTATTAAGAACTGACGCAACTACAGAATGTTCAGCATGTCAAATGCATAAATGAACAAGCCATGCATGGCACAATCCCAGTTAGATATCAAACTTAAGAGATAAATACAGTTCAAACATAAACATGTCAGAGATATGGATCCAGAAGCTTATGAAATGACTGACATTCAATCATCTTCTATCTGATCGTTAAACGAGTACTTGTCCATATTGAGAGATATGGCTCTGGAACAGCATTAATTAAATTAAAATGGCCACTGGTCAGCCATTTTGAATACATCTGTAAATCTATAACATGATGTAAAATGAATATATTAAATTTGAACATAATCAGTCAAATCATGTAACTTTTCAGTGATTTGTTGTGAATTTACTTGCAACGAATACTAGCAAATTGTAAACTTTGCAGAGAGCAGAATGATTTTGTTGCATCTGTAGTAGATGCCAGCAGTTTTTCGTATACACTTTTCTTCTGAAAATTTGGACAAAAATATCCAACTTTTTTGAGTAAAAACCGAAAATTTACTCAAATTTTGTTTGATGGTTCCAAAATTAGGGTTCATTTCCAGAAGTATTGAAGAATATAAGAAAAAAGTGCAGAAAAATTTGGGCGAGAAAATCTAGTGGTGAAAAGGTTAGTGTCACAGTCTCTGTGAAGTGTATTTTGGAATTATTTACATTTTATATAACACAATAGATGACATATGTACTCATAGCAGAAAAGGCATCAAGGGATGACTATAGCACTGTAGGTTAGACCAAACAAAACTTGATTTGATAGAATGTTTAGAAAACTAATCATCACTTTTTTATCACAAAAGTAAGGCAAAGCATGCACAAAGGCAGTATATGTTGACTGGTGAATGCTGTTACGGTATTCTAGTGAAAACCTTATTAATTATAATTTTCTGTAACAGCCCTAAATGCCAGATAATATACCATTTCAGGAGATTTGCATGATTCAATTACTGCCACGCACCACATAATTGCTAGCAATAGAAAGTGTTTCAATGTGATATGTGATACGATCCAAATAAGTTTCAAACATGTGTTTACAGGTGTCATATTTCTATAGTTTTCGGTTGTGGGTTATGAATGTTGACAAATGTGATTAACTAACCTGGGAAAAGATCATAGCATCTAGTGGCTATTTCCCACAACACAAGTCCCATTGCATACACATCAACTTGTTTCAATGCTACCTCACAATCACGTAAATTGACCGCTCCATCCAGGACCTCGGGTGACATGTACCGTATCGTTCCAACCTGTAAACAGAATCATTCAGTGATTATTATTCATTGCAATCTACACGTCTGCTGGGGAGTTTGATCTGTCACTTAATTTAGTATATTTTTGACATGTTTATAATGTTTTAATTTTTAGCCGTAATCCTGAGCTGGTAACCATATTTATATTCATGGCCAACTTGATGCGTTGGAATGTCATGAAATGAAAACTGAAACGGCTTTCAGCATTGTACACCAATCAAAATGTTAGCTAATTTCATTGTCACTATGTTAACCATTGTCATGGTATCACTGTAGCCAAGGTAACAATAACTACTAGGATTGAAGCAAAAACTCAAAGTGCTAGACATTAATCACAAATTCCACCTCTCCCACATTTTGGAAATAATATCACAAATACATTATAATGTTGGTGACATAAAACTTT